CCAAAACAGATGAGCCGACCATCTGCTCGCACTGCACAAGTATGAAGGTCGCTTGCTGCGACAACCAAAACGGGTCCCAAATTTTCCGGCAAGTGACACTGCTCACGTCTGGAGCATGCACTGCAGGCTATCAAACCACTTTTCCTCGCTACCCAACTGCTATAACGGTTACAGGAAACTCCAAACTTCCCGTAGTGTGGTGGGGACGTGGCAGTCTGAGTCCATCTGCGCATGTTTCTTGACAAGCATCGAATACGTTGAAGCTGCGGCAGAGCGAAGCGCGACTGGCACAGCAAGGGGTGCCTGGAGCCAGCACGGACTGGCAGAAAATAACACCTTGCTGTCGTGGATGTCAAGGAGAATGTGGTAAGTACCAGGGCAGCTTTCATAACGATTGAGATGCATGCCTCGGCGCGCTTGATGACGACCATGTGGACAAGTAGTTGATGCATTTGCTATGAGCGAGGGCAAGGCAATCACAGACCGTTGTACTGAGACGTCACAGCGGCGCCGAAGCACCGAAGCTCCACCACTACTGTGATGTAGGTATTATTCTCAAAACTTGTGGCCTCATGACCGTTGCAACCTTATTCCTAAACATTTTTTATTCCTGATACATATTTGTCAAAAGAGGAAACCATGTCCATTTGTTTTGGGGGTTGGGTGTTGTGGGTTTTCTATGCGGTGGGTCATACTATGGGGTTGAGCATGCAATTATCTACGGGGTAGCGCGTGGTTCGATGGTATGGCTTTTATCACGTGGGTCTTGGGTTGGGTTCTTCCTATGGGTATTCTCCTAAATACCCTGTAAGCCCTAAACCATGACCCTAAACCCTAAAAACCCTAAACCCTGGTTGAGGTTGAGGTATAGGTTGTTATTGCTTGGGTCTTCAGGTGACATACGGGGGTGTGCATGGTTAGAAAATTGAAATGGTATACGCTAACTTAATGTAGGGCCTTCAGAATCAGAATAGGGTTTTAGGCTATGTTATACTATAATCACAATAAGGAAACGCCCAAAATAATATGGCTAATTATCACGGCCCCTAGAGCTTCAGACCAGGCGCATGGGTTGGGCTCCAGCAGCTACGGATTCAAGTCTAGGATTTTCGGTGCTTGCGGACAACGCTGGTAGCAGAATGTGGAATTATGGAGTAGGTCTGCCAAGGATTTAGGGTTGATGGAATGATGGGCTTATGCCCTAAACCCTAAACCCTAAACGGGCTTATGGCTGCAAAGGCTGTTTTGATGCTGCTGCAAGGTACATCCGCGGGCTTTTCTGCGCTGGCGGCTTCATTGGCCGTGTGCTCACGCTCCGGGGACCCACAAAGCTCCCAAGAGTTGTTTAGCGTTTAGGGTTTAGGGGTTTAGGGTTTAGGGGTTTAGGGTTCAGGGTTTAGCGTTCAAACTAAGCTTGCTTCGGAGGGCTATCAGGAAGACCTCGACGGCTGGGACGGGGACGACATCGAGGACGATGACCACTTGGAGGACGGGAGACGAGGAAGACGACACCGACGACGAAGACGGCAACGGCTACGACAAGGACGACGAGCATGAGTTGAGGGTGGTTCAGATTCTAAACTTACGACTGAAAGGGTTTCATATGCGGACTAGAGTCTCTAGAGTTTACATAAAGTAATTTCAAGCGCTCGTTGGTCCAATCAAAGCATGATCTACTTGAGCACTTCAGGGCGTTCCCCGAATCTGTGCTGACATCGGTTCTGATGTCATGCGCCATGCGTGGCTGCTAGGTCACACGGACACGGGACTCCCAATACCCACAGGGATGAATTCTAGTGGGAGGTGAGAATTTAGAGAGGGAGCTGGAGGTGAGAATTTAGAGAGGTTAAGGTTTATGGTCAAGGGGAAAGTAAGAGAGAAAGACGGGCGTTGTTACCTATGATATAGTGCAAAAAATACACACAACCACATACTTCCGAGGACTCGAACCTCGCCGTTTTGAGGTATGTTATACTATAATTATAATAAGGAACCCCTCAAAACATACTATTGGTAACTATTTAGACACCTATGTTACTCCACGTCCCATTGCAAGGGTCAGATAGAAGGTTTGGGAATTGCGCAGTAATGCGCCCAGCTCAGGTCTAGTATAGGTCAGAAAACCTAAACCCTAAAACCTATCCCTACACCCTACGGTTGATGATATAAGTCCTGCATTACCCATGATAAGGATTCTATATACCATAATTCCCAGAGTTTCGGGTCCGTAAGGCAATGCAGGATTTTAGATCATCAGCCGTAGTAACCGCCAACTAGAACTCAAACCGTATATACCCTACACCCTAAAACCCTAAAGCCCTAAGCCCGAGTAGTATAAGTCATTCTTTGGGTTTAGGAGTTGAGGGGTTGCACTGCAGCGGCTTGCGCTGCTTCGCCGACCGTGTCGCCAGGAGCAACCCGGAAGGTCCCCCAGCGCCTAAGAATCCTTGAAAAAAACCGGGGAATTGGCAATGGGAATAAGGTGTTGGGGTATTTACAGTATAGTTTAGGGCTTGGGGTTTAGAGTTTAGAGTATAGTTTTCTAAGGACTATGACATTACGAGGAAGGCTAACAAAATGGTATTGGTTAGAAATTTCGGATCCTTCACTTCAAACCTCTCACAGAATGCGTATAGATCCCTCGAAGGAACCCCTACTCCTTCTTAGGTACTTTGGACCTTTGGGGTTAGACTTTGTGTACAGTGCTCTCCGTGGTGGGCTGCTCAAGCAACTTCTGCGCAAAGGACCTTGGCATCACGTTCCACGGCTTGCTGGGTCCATTTTGGTGTTTAGGGTCTAGCGGTTTGACGCCAGAAGACATGCGCCGTACATGACGGTGTTGTGGCTGTGGATGGGAGTGAGCGGTCTCTTGCATAATTGATGGTCATGTTGCGTAGGGTTCCTTGTTCATACTTCCATATCATAAATACAACAGATCCCAAAACTTGTTCCAATTAACCAGAAAGCCTTTCAGAAAGCCTTATAGAACCCTTGAAGGAGCCCCATTCAAACCATTAGGGCCGGCATGCTATCGGTCTCAGGGCATGCCTTCGTTGTTGATGCAGGCGTGGATGTTGCTGCGTGGAAGCTCGTAAGACAGAAGTTGCACAGTTAGACTTTGGTGATTTTGGGCTTGGGGGCTGCGAAACATAAGTACAGTAAGGAACCCTGGTGAATTATTTCACTTGGTGTTAACTATTCAGGCCCCTATTGCCCTAAACTCCAAACCCTTTTCAATTCGCCTCGGCCCCGGCCCAAGCGGTCAGAGGTTCCTATTCGGACTTCCTCTATTCCCCAACGGGCCGAGGCGGACGACGCGAAGCGTTTAAAATTGCCTTAAACTGAATTTCCAAACTCTGAACCCTCAGAAACGCCTCAAAGAACCCTTATAAATCCTTGCTCAAAACCGTATATGACCTAAACCTGCGTACGAGGCTATATAAAGACGGTTTGAGAAGAGTTGAGAGGGAAGTTCGGAATTTTCAGAATAAGATCCCTACTAACTTATCCGGGGCCCGAACCCCTCACAACCGGGATTCGACTAACCCTGCGCTGTTGGGTTCTAGATTTCGGGCCATTCTTGTCTGAAACTCCCAACACAACAGTCAAAGGCAAATGGGGTTGTAAGGTACCTAGAGTCGCCATTATAGGTCGTTTTTCGGTTTAAGCCAACTTAACTTTATGGTTTAGGATCCGAGGAAACGACCAACAAACGGAACTGCAATGGAGACGATAATAGTTCCCTTCTAGAACCCTTACGGAAGCCTCATAGAACCCTTAAAGGAACCCCTATAGATCCCTTATGGAACCTTTATAGATCCCTTAAAGCCCCCTATAGATCCCTTGAAGTACCCCTTTAGATCCCTTAAAGGACCCCTTGTAGATCCCTTAAAGGAGCCCCCCTATAGATCCCTATAGGTAATGAAAGACTCTGAGACTCACTTTTTGAAGCTTAAAGCATCTCTCTGTTTCCGTTGGCATTTAGGGTTTAAGGTTTCGGGTTTAGGATTTTCAGGGTTTTGGGGTTGGGATTTAGGGTTTGGGATTCAGGATTTAGGGCTTCGGATTTAGGATTTTCAGGGTTTAGGGGTGCGGATTTAGAGTTTGGGATTTAGGATTTAGGGTTTAGGGACATCCTGTGCATCGCTTCAACATCCGGCGGCAGGACCCAGTGGATTGCGGGGGTCTCACCAAAGGCTTGAGACTTCCGGTGTCGGTGCCTCTGAGGTTTAGGGCTTATAGGGTTTATAGGGTCTCAAAGCCGTCAACTCGAAAACAGTCGCAGTTTTCCGGCATCTGACGACTCTTGCAGGGCCTGCACATAGTTAAAGCTTCCAAGTGAACCCTAAACCCTAAACCCTAAACCCTAAAACGCGAACCTGCGAGGGAAGCTGGGTCGCTCCATAAGTCTCACTCTGAGCCCTACCGTTTATAGGCACCTAGCCTTTTATGGGTACCTACTGCTCTATATACCTTAAACAAGGGGTAGGGTATGACCCTCTGGCAAAGAGGAAGAGCCACCCAAAGTCGTCCCACCCAGAGAAAAATGAGGAACTGAGTCCACTGCATCTGCAACGGCGGCACTGGAGGCCGTATCAGACCTGATAGGGCTAAGGGCCTAAAGGGTTTGGGGTTTGAGGCTTAATGCCAAAAAAGCGGGGCTTGAAATGCTTCTTGTTCCAGTCGCAGAAGAGTTGCTGTTTAGTTGAGTTCTCTTCTTCTCAATTGTGATTACGATTGTGTTTGTCTTACGGGTTGGAGTTCCAACACTTATAGAGTCAGCCCACCCAATCTAAACGAGTATGGCTTTCGGGCTCCCAGCTGCAGCGCCTGATTGTTGTGTGTAAGCTGTATCTTCACGCAGGTGAAGAAGCATAATGTGGGGGGCCTTAATAATTAGAATAGGGTTTTGGGGGTTCCTTACTATGATTATAGTATAGTATACCCCAAAACCCTATTCTAATTATCAAGGCCCCCAAAATCACGCCTCTGCGAAGCTGCAGCGCTGAAGATGATGGGGGGCTTTTGGCTAAAGGAGTCTCAGGCTCAGGCTTAGCTCGCTGGCCTTCAGAGCTACGAGTTGGCGTTTTAGGGTTTAGGGTTTTGGGGAATAGGATTTAGGGCTTTTAGGGTTTAGGGCTTTTAGGGTTTAGGGTTTAGGGTTTAAGGTTTAGGGCTTTTAGGGTTTATGGCGTTTTAGGGCTTAGGGGTTAGGGTCGCGCGGCTGCTCACCATGGTACCATACTTTTCGACACAGGTTTTCCCAAAGGAGAACTTTCAGGCCACCATGCTTTGCATTGCTCCCTATACGGAGAGGCGTCGAGGTCAAGATTCAACAGACAGCTTGTCATCCACAACGACGGAGACTTGGCTGTGCTACATAAGCTACCATGGAATACGGATAGGGTAAATAACGCAATCTTTCATCTGGCCTATCTGGTAACCTAACTTCATCAGTTTACACACATTGACATGCCTAACAACTAAAGAAAGCTGGACACAGATGCAGTCCACAACCTCACGATGGTAGCTTAGCTGAAGTTACGGTAACGACGACGAAATATTACAGCCTCAACCCTACAAGCCGTATCAGACCTATTATAAACCCCAGGCCCTGAACCCTAAACCCAAAAAACCCTAAACCACAGCCCCTAAACCGTCAAACCGTTCCACCGAGGTGCTGCGGATGCTGGGCAACGCTTGCCCAACGATATGCTCCTGAGCGAGCATCGTCGGGTAAAGCAGGATTTCTTTTGGAAGGCTTCTAAAAGGCTTACTATACAGGTTCCTTTGAGGGCTATAGTCGGGCTGATGCGCAGAAAATGCTGAAGGTTCTCCCGTTTCAGGGGTTGGGGGTTGAGGGTTTAGGGTCCTTACGTTCAGGTTTACTGTGTTCCCTGGAACAGGATCAGTACAATTCAGGTGACATTTAAGCACTGCGCGCGGTTTGGGATGTTGCCACTGTCTACCCTGAACATCTGGAAAGTGGTCAGTACAATTCAGGTGGCATTTAGCCATTCAGGCACTGCACACGGTTTGAGATGTTGCCGCTGCCGTAGTGCTTCTGCAGAGGCAATCGACCAGTGTACACCATCTGCAGATTGCACGACGAAGGACACACGTGCAGCCTATTTGCAACCCGCAGTATGAGATTTCATTGTTGTGGGGTGTCCTGCATCTCATCACAGCATCCCTCAGACTCGCCATGGTCCACAGCAAGCTGCTTTGACGCGAGTCCCACGAATTTCGCAATCGAGTTGAGACAGGAAGCGGAGGCATATGTGTCCTCGAACCCATCATTAAAACATGCTGCATGCCTGTAGTCACGACACGCAGCTGCGGTCAAACTCCGAGTTATGAAGAGCGCTCCAGTGCGACTCCACCTGTGATAGTAACCCAATCTTCACTCCTTTCAAGTCTTGCCCCCAACTCGTGATGTCTCTCTCTCTCTCTCTCCCTATCTCTCTCTCTCTCTTAAACCCTAAACCCGAAACCGCTCTCTCTCTCTCTCTCTCTCTGTCTCTCTCTCGGCTCGGCAGTGTCATGGCTTCAAGCTTGGAATGCTCCCGGGACCATGTACCGAAGCTAACGACACAGGAAACTACCGAAGGCTTGATTTTGCAGTATAGTATGTTCTCGTATAATGTAGTATAGTATAGTGTATTGTAGGGTAGTGCAGCGTAAACTCGTACATAATACATAGTAAAGTATCACACGGTATAGTATCGTATAGTATAATATAATAGAATAGTATGGTATAATACTGTCTAGTCTAGTTTAGAATATCATAATGTCGTAGTACAGTACAATAAGCTACATTAAGCTATGTTTTGAAAACTCAGCTCCAGAAATCCTACCCGAAGGGGTTCATACACCCAGCTACTTAGGGTTCAGGGTCTGTAGCAATAGGAAATCCATGCCTAAACCCTAAACCCTAAACTGGCGAACATGTGCTTGTCGATCTCAGGAATTTTTCCACTGGGAGAAACCCTAACCTCTGAACTGATCTACGGTTGAAGTTCAGCGTTTAAGGCCACTTTAGGGTTTGGGTTTAGGGGTTGGGACTTTTGGGCTTAAGCGTTTAGGGTTTCGGGCTTAACGGCTTCGTCCATGTAGCGGGCTGAAACTGAGATGTCGCTGGCTGCTGCCTGGTTCTGCAAGAGGTCCTGCTCTTACTTCAAAATCTCGCAATGCCACAGTGAGGCGAGGACGGAAGTACTTCCTCAATCCAAACCGAAACCCGCAATTCCTGAACCCCAAATCGAGGCACCCCTAAATACCTAATCTAGATACCCGACATCCCAAACCTCTAAGCCCCTAAACCCCTGAAGCTCTAAACCCGTAAACCCCCAAAACCCCACGACCCCCTCTTGGCAGCTTTATGGTTCAGGGGCTTAGGGGTTTTGGGGTTCAGGGATTAAGGGTTTAGGGGTTACGGGTTTAAGCTTAGGGTTTAGGGTTTTAGGGTTTAGGGGTTGGGGTTTAGGGTTTAGGGTTTAGGGGTTGGGGGTTTAGGAATTAGGGGTTATACCTGGTTTAGGGCTTTGGGTTTCGGGCTCTTCACCTAAAGGGTCATACCCTGCTCTTTGTTTGCCAGCTTTATGGCTAGGATCCGCTATATATAACTCTAGATACCCAGAAAATATGGTATGACCGTACAGGTAATGTGGACATCGAACTAACAAACCACACTGGGTTTATAGGGGGAGTTTAGGGTTTGGGGCTAAGGCACTGGATAAACGGAATGCAGACCCTTAGTTCATAAACCCCCTTTCTTGGATCCCAGGGAATTGTTAAGGGCGGGCGGGGGGGCTACTTCAACAGGTGTCTACAGGGTTTTGCACCCTAGAGAACCCTCAACCCTAAACCCCCAACCCTAAACCCTAAACCCTCAACCTTAAACCCTCCACCCTAAACCCTGAACCCTCAACCCCAACAGCCCCTTGAAAGGAAAAAACAAAGGTCGCCCTGCACCGAGGCGAGCCGCGGCCAAAGCTGCAAGAAGATTCGCTTGGCGATGGGAGAGCTTGGCCAGGTGGCCTAGGCTCTGAGATCCATGTTTAGGGTTTAGGGATGACGGTTTAGGGTGTAATTAGGGTTTAGGGATTAGGGTTTTAGGATTTCAGGGCTTCTCGGGGTTCAGGCTTGAGGGTTGAGGGTTTAGGCTTACACATGCGCTTACACTATGGTGCTGCTAAGCTGGCTCGCCGACACTTGAGCCTTGCGTTTGGGGTAAGAACCCATGGGGGCGTGGGTTTTAGGGATTTAGGGGTTTAACCCTAAACCCTAAACCCTAAACCCTAAACCCTAAGGTTTAGGGGGCCCAGCCATGGCTGCAGGGCTTCAGAGTGTCGTGAGTTTGAAGGATTCTGGCCCTAGGGTCGCCACAGGTGGGTGGTAGGGTTGAAGGAATAGGTTTAGGGTTTAGGGTTTAGGGTTTAGGGTTTAGGGTTTAGGGTTTAGGGTTTAGGGTTTAGGGTTTAGGGGTTAGGGTTTAGGGTTTAGGGTTTAGGGTTGTTCTTTCGGGCCTCACCCGTAGAAGAACGTCCCGAACGCACAAAGATGCTCAAGGTTGAAGCCAGTCCGGAGCAAACGTGACATGTCCCGGCGCTTAACCGACTCGTGCGCTGACCTGCTAAGTAGACTTCAGGGTGCTCTGTGAATGTTCTTTTGCAGGGCCCTTTACTTCGTAGGCGTCTGTTCCAAAAGGATTCCAACGCAGTATTTAGGATCTATATCAAAGTCCCGTCTCTTCTGAATTTCCAGCATGGATCCGCAAATCGGGATCACTGCAATTCTGCTTGAGGGGATGTGGTTTTTGGGTGGTCCTCAAGCTCGCTGCTAGATCATGAGCTAAGCATCCCACACCGTTAACCCTAATAGAACCCTTGATCGAGCCACTCAACCCTAAACCCCTGAACAGAGACTCCGATAGAACCCGTCTCGCGGTACATCCGTTGTCTTGGGTCACAGCCGGCTAAGGCCCATGGATGAAAAAACCTGGGTTCTGCTAGGGACGCTTTTGCGTTCTGCTAGGGTCTCGTAGGGTTTTCCCAGTGCGTTTTGCGGGGGTCTTCAATCTGCAGGAAATAGTTTCATGAAGGGTTCTATGGGGGCTTCTTGTGGGTTGAGAAGAGTTTCATCAGGCTCTTTATCAGGGTTCCAGAAAGCTATAGGGTCGTGCAGAGGGGGGTTTGTCAGGGCTCTAAGGTTTTTGAGAAGAGCTCTACCCAGAGACTCATATGTCCCTCAATCGAGGAGTATTCTTAAGCCACAGTATGAATCTTTAAAAAACAAAAACAGATGCTCTTGAATGAGGAAGCAGTGATTTCTCTGGTAGCCTAAACCTCAAACCTGAAGCCTTGCGTCTGGACTGGCCCTGAGGTGCAGCGCCTAGAAAGAAAGGGGCCTTAATACTTAGAATAGGGTTTTGGGGCCCATTAGACTATATAGTTATGGTAAGGAACCCCCCCAAAAAATAGTAAGGGAAACAATTCAGGCCCCCATATTATGGGCTCTATGATACTCTATAAGATCTGTATGGGTTCAGGGATCCTAGAAATTGGCAAGTTCTTGTCCAACAGATCCACAGCGAGCCTTGAACCCCTATACCTGGTTTAGGGTTTAGGGTTTAGGGTTTAGGGTTTAGGGTTCACCCAAAGCCCTAAACCACGTTGAGCCTTGCACTGATAACACAAATCCGGGACTCAACACCATAAAAAAACGATGGAAACTCTGAGATTGTGGGGAATCTTACTAGTTAGCAAAGGGTCGTGAGTATAGGACAACCATATAAGGACTCTCAGTGGATACTCATACTAGACATTCCGACCGCTATCCATAGTCCAGCCTAAGCCATAAGCCACCAAGTAACTCTAGGCTAGCAAACCCTGCGCCCCCCAAACCCTCCGCAACGCTTAAGGCTCATAATGCAACACAGCCCGCAGAAAACGATAAAACTAAAACTCTAGAAAGCCAGAGCCAAGTCCTTCGATTAAACACCAGTCGTCGACGCCGGAAGTCCGTACTCTCTGTAGAAACCCTACAAACATGTGTCGAATCCTTGTAGAAACTCCACAAAAACCACTATGCAAAAAACCCTAAAAGCCACTGTGAAAGCCTGTAGAACCCCCCCAAACAGCAAAAACCTCAAACCCCAAACCTAAAACCCTAAACCCTGAAATCCTAAACCCTAAACCCTAAAACCCTAAAACCCTAACCCCTAAGCCCTATAAGCCCCAAGCCACTCAGCCAAGGTTCGGAAAGCCTTGCAAGCTGCCTTCATCGCCTTTCTCCAGCTCCGCACGGGTTTCCTTCAGAGACAAATTCAATAGGGTTTAGGGTTTATGGCTTGGGGCTTTAGGGGGTTTAGGGTTTATGGTTTAGGGCTTTAGGGGCCTTAATAATTAGAATAAGGTTTTGGGGCCCATTATACTATTATCATAATAGGGAGCCCCCAAACTAGTATAGGTAATTATGAAGGCCCCTATATTGGGCTTTAGGGGCCTTAATAACCAGAATAAGGTTTTGGTGCCCAATTATACTATAATCATAATAAAGAGCCCCCAAACTAGTATAGGTAATTATTAAGGCCCCTATATTCGGGCAGTGGGTTTTCAGGGGTTTCCTTGAAAGAAGAACGGGTTTGGGGTTTTAAGGTTTAGGGAAAAAGGGTTTAGGCTTTTAAGGCTTCAGGTTCTAAGGTGTTAGGGTGTTGGGGTTTGGTGGCCTTTCAGTAGGGTTTCCTTGAAACAACAAACGGGCTGCGGGGATTTCTCAGAAGGGTTGTCTTCGATTTACTGTAAAGGTTTCCTTGAAGCGAAAAAGGATTTAAGCTTAAGGTGCTTCGGGTTTTGACTGAGGTTTACGGCCTGAGGGCTGAAGATATAGGGTTCAGGGCTTTAGTACTAGGGTTTAAGGCTTTAGGGTCACACGGCTTTAGTGCTTTAGGGTTCAGGGTAAAGGGGAGTTTCAAAACGGTGACTGTGAGGCTGCGATAAGAGCAAGGGCCTTAGCCGCTCGCTGCTTCATTGGTAGCAGGGTTTCGAGTTTAGGGCTTAGGGACTACAGGTTTAGGGTTTAGGGTTTTAGGGGTTTGAGGGGTTTAGGGCTTTAGGGCTTCAGGGTTTAAGTTTAGGGCTTAGGACCACACCATGCTCAAATCCTGAACGCCACAGTGCACGTCTACAACATGAGCTCAAAACCCAAATCTCTTGTGAATCCGATGCAGAAGCATTCGAAAGTTTACAGTCGTGCTGAAAGTCTGAAGCTTGGTATCAAACAAACAACCCTTGACATAACCCTCAGGAGCACCAACCGAAAGCCCTCATCAACTTCATTCCTGAAAGCCCAAGCAGACCCAAGAACCCAAACCCAAACTGCAGACGTAATGAACCCGGACGCGAGAGACTAAGATCAAGGATAAGATTGCGACAGAAGCAAGGAAGCCGGTACATCTTGACCCGGCTTACGGTCTAGGGTTTAGGGTGTGGGGTTTAGTGAACCCGATCACCAGACAGAGCTAACCACGAACAAAACAAGGACAAACGCAAATACCTAGCAAACACACGCTGCGCCTTGATGGTCAAAGGCCCTGCAATGTGAATGCTAAGCCCTGGTAACCCAAAACAGTGCGAACGCCAACCTTAAATGCCTTAAATCATGAACCCCTAGAAACCTAAACCCGAAATCTCAAAACCACCAAAAATAACAAACTACCATAAGCCCAAATCCCTAGAATCCTACCCCCAAACACCAAGAGTGCTAACCCCGCCCCAAATCCCTCAAAACTCTAAAATCCAGAAGCCCCGGGCCAACACCATGAATCCCAACACCTCGGACTTCATATCCGAAAGCCCCCACCAAAAGCAACCAAACTCGAAATCCCTAAACCCAAAACCTAAACCCTAAACCCTAAACCCTAAACCCCTCACCCGAAATCCCTAAACCCAAAACCCTAAACCCTAAACCCTATAAACCCTAAACCCCTCACCCGAAATCCCTAAACCCAAAACCTAAACCCTAAACCCTATAAACCCTAAACCCCTAACCCGAAATCCCTAAACCCAAAACCCTAAACCCTAAACCCTAAACCCCTAACCCGAGATCCCTAAACCCAAAACCCAACCCTAGACTCCCAAACCCCCGGGCACCTTCAACCCGAAAGTCCTGGACCCCAAACCTCCAATACTGAGGCCTTATCAACTAGACTGGGGTTTAGGGTTTAGGGTTTAGGGTTTAGGGTTTAGGGTTTAGGGTTCAGGGTTCAGGGTTCAGGGTTTAGGGTTTCGGGGTCCGTTCTACTATAACTCTATCGGGGCCATCATTAGTATCATCCAGCATCTACTTGAATGTACTAGTTGATTCGACTACTATATTGGACAAAAGGGTACTAGATAGTAGAAAGTAGGGGTTCTATGGGTAAGTAACCCCCCTATACAGGTATTTAAACCCCTAAACCCTAAACCTTTAATCCCTAAGCTCTAAACCGTAAACCCGTAAGCCCTAAACCTTTAATCCCTAAACCCTAAACCTTTGGGTTCGTAAATTCGCTCGCGGCAGTCCATGTCAAACGGCGCCTCAGGAAGTTCCCGCTCGAAGCTTTCGACTTTGTCCTCATGTGGCTTTTTGCACTGAGATTCAGGGTCTAGGGGTTTAGGGTTTAGGGGTTCAGTGTTTAGGGATTTAGGGTGTAGGGGTTTAGGGTTTAGGGGTTTAGGTGTTAAGGGGTTTAGGGTTTAGGG